AGGAGCTTGGAGATGTTGTGAAAGCCTTTCTCTTTACAGTTCACTGTTAGCCCCAAGTCATTGATGTGAAGGTTGCAAGTACATCCGGATGGACAAATTATTGGGATGGGAGGCCTTGTTTGGTAGCCCGCTACAGGGGGCTGGTTGATGCCTGGATAGTTGCTACGAGGGGTTGGAGGGTTCTTTGTGGGCCGAGGTCGTTTGGTGGGCTTGACAACTCTTTCCTTGTATTCCACAGAAGAGGCTGTGTTGTGAAAAGACGAGAGCATGGAGGAAGGTTTAGTAGGCCATGTGTTCTCATTGCTGAATGGGATCCGGGGAATTGCCAGCTTGGCCTCAATCTCTGCATCGGAGAGCAGCGGACAGAGCTCACTGCGCTTGATTTCCCGTAAGTCCTTCCCATGTAAGTGGAATGGGTACTCGCATGTGATCTCACCGACCAAAGCTGTGTAAGGAATTCGCTCCAGCCAAGTTTTTAACTGGACAATCTCACACACACAGTTCCAGGGGTTCTCCTCCAGCTGGATTTCCATTAGGTTCCTTCCAACGTACTCAAGCGTGCCCTTATACGGCAATGTTTTTAGTCTGTTTCCTCTCAGGTCCAGATGTGTTAGTGATACGGATCGGAAAAGATAATTTGGGAGCATGGGAATCAGATTGTCATTTAGTATGAGGACTCTCAATTTGTGAAGATGCCGGAATGCACCACTTTCAATCCGTTTGATGACGTTGTAGTCCGCCTGGAGATACTCTAAACTCTCCAACCCGAGAAAAGTGTCATTCCGGAAAACCTCTAGTTTGTTTTCATGTAGGAACAGCCGTTTGAGTATTCCTAAGCCATTAAACGCTCCCGCATGGATATCTTGCAAGGCGTTATTACCCAGGTTAATGGATATGGCATTGTTGAGATGGAGGAAGCTGTTAAAGTACAGCTTCCTCATGGTGTTTCTCTGCAGGTTGAGTTTGAACGGCCTGCTCCATATCTGGGAGATCTGGCTGACATTTGTAAATCCTTTGCTGTCACAGTGGACATGGAAGATGCCCTCCTTGACCTCGCAGTAGCAGGGCTCAAAGCACGGCTCGTCGATCTCCTCGGAGTCCTCTAGTAGTGGGATCGGGGTGGTCCATCCTAAGGCTATGGTGCTCAGCAAGGTAACCCACAGCATCCTCGCTGACACCAAAGGGATGAAGTCTCGGCTCCAGGGACAGAGCCACTTCACAGCACTGCAACAGAGTACAGTGGAAAGAGAGAGTGGCAGGGAGGGAGGTCATGGGGATAGGGAATACACAGAGAAAAGCAGAGGCAGGAGAGAGTAAGGGTGCATTAGTTTAAATAGAATGGAATATAGCTTTGAAATGAATACCAGTGGATAATAGAATTACATTGGAGACTACACTTTTGACGCGTCAATATCTAGTAATTTCGACCATATCTAAAACCCAGCACTATGGGGTAATATGACACCTAGCAACGTAAACAAATCTCCACATTCGGATAGTTAACGCCAGCATGTTTTTGGAATTGTAATTTATCATAGAGGGAACATGCTGGTAAGGTCACAATAAATCACCTGAGAGATGTTTATCAGCATGAATAAACGTGGGCAATGGCAGGTGGATAAGGTTAGCTCTGAGGAGACACTGTCCCTCTGCTCTATTTATTACATAATGGGGAACTCGATCCGTCTTTCGGTAAATGAAAGTATATCGCAGGACAGGAACGGAATAGGTATCGGCCAGGTGACCATTAGTAGGACGAGAAGAAGGCTGCCAAGGGACTTGCTGAACATAAATCACGTTAGAATTCATCCAAACATATTCATGTGTTCTAGTCTATAGCTTAAAGAAATTATCTCATTCAGAAAAAAAGGGGCAAGAACACTATGGTATACATAGGGTCTCAAAGATGCTTAAAAAAACGAAAAATACTCAAAAAAGGTCCATTTATGCACGGTTTCAAGGGAGTGGCCATTGCGATCCCCTCAATGTGTTTTGCCACCCCAGACGCCAACACAAAGTTGTGGCACTTTGTAGCCTTTTACCTCGCTGTGGGGCATGTGTTTCGCCACCCCCCCACTAGTGTCTGTGAGATTGAGACTGCGCTGATTTGCATTTTAGGCAACAAAAGCTCCCTCTCTCGCTCCCAGGTCTTCAATTTCTGTCGTTTTGCCGTCGGAATTTGATAATGATGCACAAGGCAACCTTAAGCGCATGGAAGGCGCACCAAAATTTCAACTAAAACCAACAACAAAAAAGCAGCACCAGCAATACAAATAATGGGATCAATGGCTCTAGTATCTATTTACTCTGTCCAATTCTAATGATCAAGCATATCAAATTTATAAAGTATTATTATTATTGATTATCACTTTATTGTTATTATTAATAATATTAAGGCCTTGTGATCTCTATAAATGGCTTTTTATGGATTCATGATGACAAATGGTTTAGCTGGCCAGAGTATTTTCTATATTATTAGGATATATGCAATACAATAAACTTATACAAACTTATTTATACCAAAGCTCAGGAACCTAATGATGACCATACACATGTGTGCTTTATTAAAGATTCACATGACACATGATGCCGGTTACTTATCAAGTTAATTGGTGCAGTTTGCTCAGAATTAAAAAAGCCTGTAAATGTATGTTGGTATAATGTGATATAATAACTCTTTCGAGGAACCTATAGAAAGTCTTTTGAAAATTTAAATTTTTAATGTTGGCCTACCACAATATACAAATTCTGTAGAAAGACACTGTCCATCAACAGTTGTGTTTGCATGCATCATTATGTTTTAGTCAATTCTAAGTAGATTAGAAGACAAGTCTGCAAACTGTGGGCACCATTGAGATCTTTATTGGCCACCTCGACACATTCCGGTAGTATCCTGCAGTGTTTCATGAACATGGGTGCCATGTTCTATGCATTCTTAAAAGAGGTGAAACCTCTTTTATGAATTTATAGAACCGCTTCTAGTACAACCTGCAGAAAATGCAAAGGATATTCTCCCACACCGCATTCTTGGGCTAAATTCTCCATTTGGGGAGGGGTGGTGGGTGGATGGGGGATGAGGGGCATCAAGTCAACTTATTCTGGTGGTGATGCCTTTAAGTATGGCTCATTAGGCTGGAAATGACTATCTGGCCTAGAAATAAATAATGAAATGCGACTCTGAGATCTGTTGTTGAAGAGTTTGTTATAAATAAAATCTATTAGTATTATTATTATACAGGAAGAATGAAAATTATAATAAGGACATTTTATAAGAATAATTATTGTTCCAACGATAATAATAATAGTAATACTATAAAGACGGGGTCATAGAAGACTCCGTTCGGTATATCCATGGTGTGAAGTGGGATAAAGTCCCACTCGTACAAAGTCCCCTAGCCCCTGAATATATTTTCTGAAGGCTGTGATTTGTTTTTACACGCACTAACACGCACAGTGCCTGTCCATTCAAACGAGGGACCTGGCAATCCAGAGGAGATTCGCCCGATGCGAGCAGAGCCGCTGTTCGTGGTGCTGAAACCAAAAAACCCAGCGACACGGCGAAAAAAAAAAGAAAAAAAGAGGGAAAAAAATATATATTGTAATCCCCAAAAATGGCGTGACAGTAAAAATGCGACAAGGAGAAAAAAAAGGATTCCTTAGGCACAATCTCCTCATTGTGAAAATCCCTGTTTGTATTGCCCTCTGCGTACGTAATCCTCCAGGATTTAATCATTCGGCTTCCATGATATAGATCAAAAAGCGCAGATGCGATGTCAAAAAAAGTAAACACGACATTAAAAGCAATTCAATTAGTGTTTCCATGTTATATTCCCCTGGGGGCATCAAATCAGGTGCTATATACCTACTTAGTTTAGCGGGATTTCAACTTCACATATCCTCCAGCGATGTGTTCTATTGCCCGGTGCGTCCCATCTCACCATCCAATGCCGGGCTGCGAGGAAGAGAGGAGGACACGGGGGGGTAGACTGAGCCGTAGGAGGAACAGGAGGAATCAGAGAGTGGAGACGGAGAGATAGGCATTCAGGAGAAAAGAGGAATGAAAAACCAATCTGTTGGTCACATATACTTACATAAAAGTGCCGTTTCCCACATAGGTAGCAAGCTCAATGTCTCCCATTAATCTTAAATGTATATAAAACTAAGTTACTCGAAAACGATTACACCCGTAAAGCTCCAGCTTGTCCAACCCGGTCAGGGAGCTTGCACTCGTCCTCTGAAATTCACCCCAAAAATATCACTGCTGTCAATGCAGCGGGGTGGGGGGTGGGGGCAGCCAGCGCTCGCTTGACATACATGCCAAGCATAATGCAATCGCGCCTTTTCGCCGTGACATTGGCAGGGGAAACGAGGCGGATAGAGAACAAACCCGCTTTTGATCAGTCAAATGGATCCCCGCGATCCGTTATCCTTGATGCACGCAGAGCGCCGGCTCTCGCTTTGTGGAGTCCATGGCAATGCGGGCGCACTTATACGCACACCAACACATCTGCATGCAAGACCCCCCGACCCCCCCCCACCCCCCTGGATTCGCTCATGCACTGGCACACACAGCTTAAGCACTCACCTTAGTTCCGTAGCGCAGTTGGACAGCATCAAGGGGGAAAAGAGCACTAGTGTGAATCTTGTTAGATCTCGCTCTCTCTTTCTCTTTCTCTCCCCCTCTCTCTCTCTCTCTCTCGCTCTCTTTCTCACACGCTCGCTCAGCGGCTGTGGCAAAAGAGAGGATTGAAGACGTGATGGGAATGCAATCTTTCCCTCTCTGGCTCTCGGGTGACTTTGACTCTCTACCTTTCTTCCTAGTCTCCTTTTTTTTAATAAACAGATTACTTCAAATGCAAGCCCTTGACTTGTGCCCGTCCGCTTCCTCCCTCTTCCTCCCTCTTCCTCCCTCCTCCTCCTCCTCCTCCCCCGCCGCCGCCGCCGTTGCCGCCCCCCCGGGCGAGCACTCAACAGCAGTGTAGCCGGGTGAGAGTGTCCTCCCCTTGGTTTCAGGACCGCGTCTCTGTCCTATGCCGGAGTGCCAATAGTCTGTGGATCATAATGACACCTGGGTCAGCTGCTGGTTTCTTTTTTTCTTTCTTCCCTTTACTTTTCTTTTTTTTTTCTTCTCTTTTTTGGGGGTGCCTTGCTTTTTCGGGTCCGCTTCCCTGTCGTGCGTCAGAGGAGTGAGAGGGACCGAGCTGGGTAGGTGGAGGGGGGCGGGGAGCAAATGGGTGAGAGACGCAGTGGAGAGAGGTCTGGTGGTGAGAGAGAAAAAGGAGGAGGAGGAGAGGCAAAAGAGTGATGGGGATGGTTCCGCTGTGGTTCTGGATGCTGTCGGGGAGGAGGAGAGGGAGGAGAGTGAAGCGAGGAGCGCTCCGGCTTTCGGAGCGTGGACGTGCGTCAAGAGGAAAAAAGACATAAACATATTTTTATATGTATGTATGTATGTATGTATGTATGTATGTATGTATGTATGTATGTATGTGTGTGTGTTTCTGTGTGTGTGTGTGTGTGTACGCGTGCGGGCGGTCGGTGCGACCGTCGGACCTGTCGATGACCGTTAAGACGCAAAGCGACTTTCTCCACATGCTCTTTAAAAAAAATTATTATTGGTATATAATACTCATCACACTTACACCACATGCTTCAGCTGGTCCTTTTTTCAGCGTAATACAACGTGCGCCGTGCCAATACTCCCCCCCGTCTGTGGACGATGAGGGTGGCCGAAGTGACTAGCAAATACGGAGCGCCTCGTCTTCTCCTTCTGTTTGCGTGCCTTCCCCTGCCTCGCCTCCAGCGGGCAACACAGGCCCGTGTTGTGCAGAGAGCCAGCACGACCGAGGCACATTATCACGATTCAAGGAGGGGGCTGATTGCAGTGGGACGATGCAATCTCCCCACTGTGTTCTCTGCTCGCAACCGCACAACCTGAAATAGTTCCATACGGCAGTTTACAGTGCAGCCGTGATATTAGGCTGTTGTGAGATCTCTGCCTTATACTTTCTTTTAATATTTGCTCTCCAGCACAGTGACGTAGACATGACGTGACATGACGTGACGTGGAAACAATACGCCTGTTTTGCATTCCAAAGGATATCCATCAACAGTTGGCAGAGAGAAGCCAACATTCATGAGAGTAAACCAGACTTTTGTGTCATTCATTTGAATTTATTACGGGTAAAAAAAGTGGTCCAACTTTGCTTTGGGTTCAATCTGCGGCCACGTATGTGAAATTAATCTATAGGGGTTATATGATTGCTGATCAAAACCCTTGCTGGTCCACAATGAACCCACGCACAGTCTACTAACTTAAAAAGATTATTTCTAAAATGATTCTGCTCTGGGATTAGATTAATAAACATTTCATCCATTTATAACCCCTTTTGTTCCACCACTTTATTTATTTTATTCCGTAAAAAAAAGAGGCTAAACCATTGAGGCCATCTGAGGAGAATCTCAACATCAGGTTGAATATGAATTACAACGAATGGATATGCGCTGTTGTGGTAACCTGAATGGAGATTGTTCTATTCATATTCTAAATTGATTTCCCAAGTGGGTAATTCAGAATCAGGGATATTGCATAAGAACCAAATCATGTCCTACATTGAAATAAACACACACATACTAACACATACCGAACATAAAAATGAATGAATGAATGCATTTGTGAGCAAATATGTTATATGATCATTGCAAGCATGTGGTACAATGCAAATTATTTACTTTTGTGTTTTATTTGAAGCTCTCTTCAGGGAAATAAAGCACATATAAACAACTCAAACACATATACCACGACACACAAGCATACCATGCATACACACACGCACACATACACAAGCTGTATGTGGGGGGTTTAGGTAATGGGGGTGAGGGAGCAGCTGGTGGACCATAAAGCTGCCATTCTTTTTTATGAAAAACCGTCATTCAAACCTGTCACATAGTGGCACACAGACTGAAGTGAGGCCACTACAACCTCTTCATTCAGCATGGATCGGCCACAGTTTGTCACAATAAAGAGTACATAATTGTACGGGCACAGATTAGAGGCTAATACCAGTCAGAAATTGCATTTTTAGTGGCACTGTAAACATTTAACATTGAGAAAAGGTGTGTATAAATGAAATAGCCTTAAAACCAACATCACTTGTGGGAATACAATGTGCTATATGTTACCGTTTCTATCACAGGTAATAATGACATAAACCCACTGAGGGAGGAGTCAGTCGTTCATAGATGCCCTACCAGCAATAAACAGAAAATCCTATAAAAAAATATTCTGTTCATGATTATAAGAAAAACTACGTGTTCGGTGGTGCAAACCCTAAATCTGTCAGTGGCTTATGACTCATCCTTGTTACTGGGCATGTCTGTCGTTGTGGAAGGCGTTCCTAATGTTGATAACAAAAAGGGCAGTAAAAGTACAAATTTGTCAAGTCATAATGTTTGACTGATATGTCTCGACATCGTAATGGCCATTAAAGTCCACTTCGTCACCGCTGACCTTTTCGAGGCCATCACTGAGAGACATCGGTGACAACTTCGTCATCGCGGACATCAAACAGCTCTGTGGCCAACGGGGAGAGAAATGACTGTCAGCACTGCTCAGCCACAACCCCCCACCCCCCCCCCCCTGAAAGGAAAAGAGTCAGAAGATGCCCCCGTACAGCATATTCACTTAAGTGGTACAGCACTTAGTGTGGGGATTGTTCAAAGGCAATATTTAAAAGATCAGGACAAACTTTTTTTGAAGAAACTATTTGTTTGTTTAAAACTGCTAAAACCTCTATGTACATAGTTTACACAGTTTACCCTGCTGCAAGTTTTAAAGCCACTTATTCTACAAGATATCGGAGTGCTGACTCGTATTTAATTTCTTTGTGATAACCAAATTACAACACGACTATTTCCAGATTATTATATATAACATCTACAGTGCACTAGAGTTATGTTAGAGTTATGGAGTTATGGAAAAAGCATATACATATCTATATCTATATAGATATATAACTATATATCTATATAGAAATAATACATTACATTACAGGTCATTTAGCAGACGCTTTTATCCAAAGCGACTTACACTTACACATATATATATATATATATATATATATATATATATATATATATATATACACACTGCATTAAGGTACCAGTATGTTGAATAGTAAAATAAAAATTCCAGCACTTTTTAACAAAAAAATGCTAAGCAACATTAAACCGTAAATTGAGATAAAAATTTAAATGATACGAGAAGTTAGTAGTAATTCCATGCCAGCATAAACAATTGTAACCTATACAAATGTTATGAATGATCTTTTACAAAAATAGATTCAAGAGTTTGACTGGTGCAATTACTTAACCAACCTTCTAGCCCAAAAAAAGTTTAATGAAAAGGAAAAAGTTTGGTGTCCATTTTAACCCTTGGTCCTCCTCCTTTAGCTGCCACTCAATGACATACCTCATGCCATCTGCCTAAGTCCTCTGTGGCCCACAAGGGAAGCACAGTCAAATATCTCCCTCTCCATCAGTCCTCCGTCCCTCCACCCGACAGTCTGCCTGACTGCTTGTGAGTCAATACGTCTGAACGCTGGTTGGCCTTTTCTGCTGTTCCACTTACATCCCCGCCCGGCTGCCTGCCAGTCTCTCCACCTGATGGCCTGTTTGGCTGACTGCTTTCATATCAGTGTGTCTCTGCCCTGCCTGTGTGCTTGTGACAGCCAGATACGCGGCCGCGGAGCTGTGACTTGGTCTTAGTTGTATTGCATTCCACGCTGGCAAACAAAGATTGATTCAGCCAAGATATTGTGCGGAAAAGTGTGTAAACATAGCTTCTTTTACACTGTATCTTGAAAGAAATGTTTTTAATTCAGTGTACATACCGTGTACGTTGCTTAGATGAATTAATTTTGTAGCCTAATAACTATGTAACTAAAGGAAAAGCGTCAACCCCAACTGTTTTCATTAGTTTGATATGAGCAAGCAACACTTTTTCACTTACATACTTTTTTAATTTGAGACATCTTTTAATTTCCAGATTTTAAATTTACACATTCAAATCTTTTCCTTTTCCTGGTTCAAATGTTAATTTTTCTGTTTCAAATCTTGAGTGAAAAAACCTAACCCAGGGTTTGTAACTAATGAGTTTTAGGTCTTTTTTCCCTTTTAGATCCTATTTCTTCTTTTTTTTAACTTTTAGTTGAATGACGCCAAGATCAAATAGTGGCAGGTGGTGTGGGCCAATATCAGAATGGGTGCGTTCCGATGTCAGATTGGTTTACAGCAGAATGTACCAAAATCAGGATCGGAATCCCCCGGCACCGAGCCTCCTCCTCATTCATTTGTAAATAACATGCAAATGAGTATCTTTTACTACCTGTGATGCAGTACATTTTTTTTCCAGCAGTATCGGCAAATTAGCACAACGAAGCATCTGGTGCAGGGGTGCCCAGTGTGTCGATTGTGATCGATCGCCAAGGCAGTGCTGATATATCGGCTGCCATCGTCGGGTCATCGACGGGTAACGGAAAACTTGGTAGTGCCAGTCAGCGATCCATAGCTTACTCACCGACACATTAGATTTCAGCCCCATTCTTGTGAATGTCCCACTCGAGGTCTCGTTGTCAGAATATGAGGAAAGCGAAGACGTTGATAACATCAATCAATAAATATATAAATGATGTATTTGGTAATAATAACGTAATATTGGCTACTTACTCATTTAAGTCAGCCTTGACCAAGATGAAGATGACCTACTTTTACTGTAAACCATCAGAGGGGGGTTTGAAAAAATCCAACATGTAACCTGAAATAGTGCGAGACTTGTTGCCAATAAGTACCAAATAAATGTTATAGTTATGGAAAAAGAAGTTAATGTTTTACTGGGAGCTGTTGTAAGTGGAGCATAAGGAAACTAACTGTGCCAGATTGTCTCTTTTGGGTCACTTTGCCGGCATAGAGCATTCAAATAAGTCTTTGGATTGATTTTCTAACATTTAATGTTCCTATGTTTATTGTAGAAAGAACATTAGCATTATGCATGCGTTATTGTGCTATGACTTTACTGGACTGGCCCACTTGAGATCAAAGCAGGCAGTGTGCGGCCCCTTAGCAGAAATTAGTTTGACATCACTGCTCTGGAGGGAATTGTGTGAAAAATAGGCATCTACATTTGTGTTTGGTTCAAAAGTTTCCTTCCGTGGTTCTCTGTGTTTCTGTAGTAAGAATGTAAACTGGACTAGGCCTTAAGAAGCAGCGGCTGGGGAAAACTTTGACTTGGGGGAAAATAACTGAAAAGATTCTTTGAAAAGATCTATTAATGTTTGTGTTCAATTTGGGCAATGCTCTCATTTTTAACAGCACTAAAGATTTGTTTTCCGGGCCATGGAACCAAAGAAACTGACCATTGTCAGTGGAAATTAAGTTACATCCCCATGTGCTTCTTTTTAATATTGATCCGAGTATTATAAATTCATATGTAGGAGCAGATCTCATTGGATTAGTGAATACTGGAGCGCAGAAATAGTTAATAGTAATAATAGTAACTTCCGGCGAAGTGCGTGGTGCTGCTTGTGTTTAGTGTGGTCACGTCTAAGCGATAGATAACAATAGTGCAAATAAAGATCAGGACAAAATAAGATAAAAATATCTCTTTCTTTGACACAAACATAATATGAGGTTGAGATGAAGAATTTCAGTGTCATCCCATCATAAGAACATTAAGGACAGCTTCACAGTGTCATCTTTTGACTATAATGAGCTTGAAACTCAGAGAAATTCAAAAGCAGATCCCAGTGGTCTGTTAAAGTTACAACCTTTTTGAGTATAACAACACAAACCTAGAAAACACTTTGCCAAGTGTGAATGCGTTACATAGCATGGCAAAGGCCCACTCTGCATCCTAGTTTGAATAGCCAGTGAGCTGCCAAATGCTTAACTGCAGTGCTGCTACGTGCAGCTTTCTCAAGACCGGCCGAACTTGATGCATCAATGTGTGTCAATGTGCAGATAATTGAACCCATAGCACCATTACCACTGATTATTGCACTTGTGTGTATTTGATTTGGTGTGTGTGTGTGCACCTTGCATGCATGTTTTGTTGATTTTCCAGCAGTCATGCTTGATGAGTTTTTGAGCGCATAGCCAGATGGTGTCCCCACCAAAAGCCTGTGTGTCTTGGCACATTCCCGTGCTCTCTTTCACCCTGTCTGTCTCTTTTTGTCAGTCTGAAACACAGAAGCACACGTATACTGTCCAGGCCTACCGTCCCGTCCACTGTCTCACTCTCTCTGCCTGCTGTAAAGCCTCAAATTATAGGAGCAAAAATACCCACAACACGTCAGCTGAGAGAGAGAGAGAGAGAGAGAGAGAGAGAGAGAGAGAGAGAGAGAGAGAGAGAGTGGGACATCACTTTCTGCTTTAACAAGTTTGTGGGGTAAATTAACGTCGAAATTTGAGGAAGGGAATGAGGCATGGAGGTCTAGTCGTAGGATGGAGGTTACCAACCCAAAAATAAAACACATGCCCACATGCGGTACGGGAGATAGATGCTAATGGCTCCAAATTTTTCTTTATAAGGGGAAATACCAACTGCTTCATATCTTGTCTATGAAAACAAAGCAGAGGGAAATGAGAAAATCGGGGGGGAAACATGTGGGAAGAGGGAGGAAACGCGTCGGAGCCTCGCGGGAGCTGATATTGAAATTCACGAGAGCTACTATTTTGACTTCATTTGTCTCCCGTCTTTCTTCTTTCATTCAATTTTATTAGCATTGAATGTCTTTCCCCAGAGTTCCGCATCTTAGAAAGAATGTCAAGGCAAGAAGAAGCCGGAAACCCTAACTGGCTGTGGACTTCAAGATTCAAAATACGCTTCAGTTCAGTTCAAATCTTCTGCATCCAGTTTAAATGGCCAAGCTGCCAACAGACACAACGTCATAACCAAAAGTTGACAGTTTTGATGACTCCTAAGCTGTGAAAAAACAACAAGTGTTCATCTTTATACTAAAAATATCATCCTTAATATATATGTAGTATATTGCCTCTTTCCACTCAGGGATATTGCATCAATGTTAATATCATGGGACGCTTCAGTAAAAGGGATGTTGTGAACTGGTCCCGATACAGCCCATAAGCTGTAGTCAGGAAGCACTCGGGTGGTCTCTGTACAAATGGATTACTGGCCTAAATCCAGATGAATCAGGAGCCATTTTTGGGGTGCAGTGCAATCGTACAGAGAAATAGTAACTTGTTTTTGTACTTCTTTTCAAGGAAACATAACACACAGTGATCGGAGTATTGTTGTAATAAGACAATGTAAGGAAGTGACATTGCTTTTCGTATCTTTCCTAAAACAGTCCCTCCCTGACACGTTTTCCCCTGCATCCCGGCTTTGAAAAAAAACTGGGTCATCTCCCTGACATCTCCATGACAACATTAGCTTTGGTTTCCGTCCAGCTTTTGTCAGTTTGACCGATATACACCGGCTACACTGACGAGATGTAAACCCTGACTGCTGGATAGATGTAGACCAAATAAATGCAACCATGTGAAACTCACAGTGCATACACGAAAGATTAAACTCTTTTCAAGTGCGTCTGCATAACATTTTGTAGCGAAGAACTTGATACATTATTAATAATCCTTCATCTGTGGCTCACTGTGATTTTGCACTGTTTAGAGCAGAGTTGCCTGCATCGCCCCACTTGGGTTTGCCAGATTACTCTGCTTGCTCACTGAGATGCGGCTACATATCAAGCCGTTCTTGGAGTGCTACAATGATGAAATGAATCAGACTTTATAGTTAGATTAATGTTTCATATGCAATGAGTAAAAAATCAGAATTTCTTTGCTGATTATGATATTTATTTGGGATTATTTGTTTTAGGTTTTAAAGAGTGTTTTATAGAAAACCGCATATTAACATTAACAGCCGTATTTTTTACTTTTTTGGGGATACTTTTTTTTTTCTTTGACCATTTCAGTTTCTTGTTTGCTCTTTAATTAAATTTTGTGACCAAGGGAATGAAAGTCCGTGAGGGGCTGAAGGGCGGAATAGTGGCGGGAGTTTACGTTCCAGCCAGCCGGCTTCCACCCAATCCATCAGGGGAAGTGTGATCAGCTGTGCCAGGAGACACACCTGGACCTCATCTCCTCATCAAGGAGTGGGTACAAAAGGACGAGCAGGAACGACGTCACAGGAGAGACATGTTGAGAGAGGAGCAGTGTAAACAGAAGGCAGTTCAATTCTGAAATTCTTAATTTATTTTGGCTAACGCACGCTGGAAATGAGCTTGATTACGTGTTGTTTTTGTTCACTTTGGTTTTATTATAAACTATTACTTGCAAACCATTTGCCTCTGACTTCTGTGCTGCCACTTATTTATACCTGTGATGCTCAGATACAAAATAAAACCTCCACTGGCTGACCTCTATGTGTAGCTCTGGGCCTTGGCAGTTTCTTTATGTTTGAATGAGATATAGAGGATATGCTGAGAGAGCCATAAACACAGATAGTGTCTGCCAGAAGCCTTGGCAGCAGTAGCTAAAAATGATGATGCAGAACTGTTAACTTAGTCAGTTTGAGCATTCCTTTCTTCTCAAAGGTCTCCAGAGGTTGCATTGCGATTTAAATTGTTTTAGATGAATAATTGAAATTGGTATATTACAAAATTGGCTTTGACGGCCAGCATTTGACTGCCTTTTGCCTTGTTTTCTCTGGTCACTCATCACATAAAGAAAGCCAACTATTCAATTGCCCATTGGGAAAACTACTTCGAAACTATCTAGATAACTTGTTAAAGTAGGTATTGGATTGGCAAGATAGTCCCATCCTTTAAGGGCCCATAAGGGACTTTGAAGAACTGGAATGGGACCAGTAAACAGCAAAGTACTCCATCACAGCCAGGTTCTTTCCCATCCAGACCGAATCAGCAATTCCACCACACTAATTATACACTGGCAGTTAATGAATTCAGGCCCGCAATAACTATTTGCTCTATAAAGGCTACGATATTCAGCTTTGTTCAAGAGAGGTGCTGATTTACTGCAGCCGGTGATGCTGTGTTTGCGATATTTTGAGGTTGTTCTATTTTGTCCAATCCGTTTTTATCAATGAGTTTCGATTAAAAACCAAACGTGTGTACCAAAAATGTACTTCACGCATGGTGCCGGTGAGGCTAAACAGGAGACTAGTCCGGCCATGTGTGTCGGAGTTGTGAGATTCGCTCCCTCCTGACATTGGCATTCCAGGGACGACATTTGTTCCGGCAGGCGTGATTGAAAAGCTGGCCTGAAAAAGGCATCAGTATGTAGAACTGTAGAAATGAGACCATTGTAATTACATGTACGAATGCTGACAAAGGAATTGCTTGACTAGTTTGACATCGAACCATTTCATTTCCACATGTTTTTATTATTTTTAATTACACACTGTACCTTTTTTACGGTTACAGACAGACTCAATAACAACAACAGCGTGGAATTTAAGAAGAAAACAATGTCAACAGGGAAGATCCAAAGACCCAAGCTGTGGAATGCTGGTTCTGATGTCTCCAGTGAGTGTTGAAGCAAAGTGAAGTACAAAGACTTTCTGCTCAAACGCACTGAAGAGATTAACTGCTTCAAGTGACAGACAAGACCGGATGCATTTGCAGCGCTTACAGTGTGACGTGTTGAATTTTGTGTGCACTTACTGTAAATCGCATATTTGTAAATCTACAGGCTGTGAGGTATTGAGGACTATGTTTGGGTGGGTGGTTGTGTGTCTGTTGTGTCATGTACGCAAACTATTTCATGATACATAACGAAGCAAACATTTTTTTCACTTTAATCGCTCCTGACAGTCATGAAAGGGACATGATGCATGTACGTTCTACCCCGACTGAATGGAATGAAACTGTTGTGTATAACTAAATGCAATAGTTCTTCTAACGAAGAGGACACTATAGTGTTGGTCCACGCTTACTTTCTATGGTTTCCTCATAGATGTGAATCAGCAGATGTGCAGTAGCTGGTGCATGTGTATTAATTTTGTACAAATGACATTTCTCTAAAAATATTAAATATTTTAAATAGGTTTCTAGTTAAGAGTTGGTATTACAATCAATAGTAGTTGGAAAGCCATGCATTATGGAAACTATTGACCCGTCTAGAAGGTGTTTTGTATTATTCGGCTTGGCTGAAACACCCAACTGTGTAATAGATGTTTTGCAGCAATTCCAAACACTTTGCAACCGAGGGTCAGCTTAGCCCAATCAATGTATTGTGCTGCATTCATAGGCAAGAGTAAACGGTTCAAGACCACTTACAACAATCTAAAAGCAACAAAAAAAATACAAATAAATTTTTATATATATATATATATATATATATATATATATATATATAGTAAATGTACACCTTTTTATTTAGCATAAAAAGGGGATGCCTACCCCTCACTCCAATGTCAATAATTAGACAAAGCAACTGACTTTAAAGGTCAGTTTGAAATACAAACTATGAGCTTTACCGAAGCCTACTGCACTGTTATAAATAAAGCTACGTCTTTTTGTGCACCCAAAATCGGCAGAAAACTGACCACACTCGTCCCTGACACGTCCAAAAAAGATACTTGTGGAGCTGCACAGTTTGATGCTGTGAAATGTTTTTTTTTTACTTTTATTTTTCTTTTGAAAATGGCACAGCGTCAAATTGGATCCCATTCGCCATATCATAGTCTCAGCCCATCATACTTTTTTAATTTCATACTGTCAAACAGTTGTCAATTGTCACGCATTGCGGATCTTATATGGTTTCAATTATTTCAAAGAACATGTATTCTACATTATATTAAAAACATGTGTAATAAACATGCTTGAATTTGATTGATCTTACGACGTGCTGCACAGTGGAATTTAATTTGATCAGAATATTTATTTTGGTAAATTTGCAATTATTAGGAATATTATTTCACATAGAAATCCCAATAGATTTCACATGAATTTTGATGATGGAATCTAGAAAAAGCCTCCATTTTTATTCAACCGCTCATAGTGGCAGCATGCTTTATGTCATGATAACCCTGTTATCTTGTTCCACACACGCTACTTTCTGCTGATCAAAGACTTGACCAGGAGAAACTGTGTTGTCATGTCAGCCTAACAAGCAGAAGCAAATGGTTAATCGATAAAATAAATGACTGGTGTTTGTCTGTCACCTTGATTGAACATAGCCATTTTTAATGTGAAGACTCATGCAGTATTTCAAATAATAAACACATTTTTTGTCAAAAACTAAATCCTATAACACCTTCTAGTTCCCACAGTAGCTGGAAGTTTGTCTGACTTGGTTGCAATCTGTAATATAAGGACTTGAAATACGGGTCCTGAACTTAATGTTGGTGAGTCATTGCGCTTACTAAATAGTGTTCTTGTTTTTGAAATGCATCACAGCATGTTTCTGATAGTAAATCCTCACCACATCATTTTTTTTGTGAAGCGTTATATCCCTAATCTCTGTATCATGGATGGGGGAGGGGGGGCGAAAGAGCTCTGCACCGATCGTTGCTTTAAATCAATATGTGGAGAAACTGAATCGGGCTTGGGGATCCCTGTCAGTATTAAACTTACTATAGTCATGATAGCTAGTAATTGCTTTTCCATCCCAAGCACCCTTCCAGCTCTTGCACACTTGAATACGAGGCTAGAAACCCAATCTCCCTGAATGCTAAAGTAAATGGCCATTTTAGCCCGAGCAAATTACCAGTAGATGTGTGGATTACAGTGGTGCTCTATTCACTTTGTTGCAGTCCTGCATGAGCCAAACGGACAAAAATATGGACAAATTGACTGACAGAGCAGCAGACTGTCCTACATACGCGCATGCTGTTTATGATTTTGAACTCTGGATAGCTCACTAATTAACTAAGAGAGAGGTAAAAAATGAACAAACTCCGATGGGCGGAGCAGCTTCCCGCTCCTCTCTTCTGGATGTCACCTGTACCTCTCCAGCATTTGTGCAGGCGCTCTATGGCCCACGCAGGGCCTCACAACAAAACATTTTCCAACAGATGACCGTTAAGAATTGAGGACACATTTTAAGAAGCAAAGAAGAGAACATCTACACTTTTGCCCGGCTGTAATTGCCCCCGTTGAGTCATCTTTTGTTTCTTCCCACAAACATCTCCAACTAAACCAACCTTTGCCCCAAAAAACTGTTTGTACTTATTATCCCCTCATTCTCCTCTGAAAATTATATATATATATATATATATATATATAATTACACACACAACCATGTGCTCAGACTTTCATTTCTCCTACTTGCTCAAGCACATTGCACCATTGATCTCCAACATCCTTCAGCATTTTCATCACAATAAATGATTGAAATCAGCTTCTCTCGTTACTCTTCGTACTAGTATCCCAAATGTATCGGATTAATGATGCCTTTTGTTTCTTCCTGGTCTTTTTAAATGGATCTTGTCCTTATAACTGTCATCTTCCGCACCTTGTTTCTCTTTCATGCACCTTGTCCTATGCTGCCTCTTGTGTTTGTACCTTTTTTAACCCCTCTACCTCAAACCTTTGATTATCTCACTTCCTTCTTCTCTCACACATTAACATGCTCCTTGCTACTATCACTGTTCATCGTTATGTATCTTTATCTTTGTTTCTCAATTAAATATTCAAAATATTTTTCCCAAAATAAAATGCATATGCATATTTTTGAACAGGTAATTCCAACCCTGGGATACAAAAGATCTCATGAACTTTAGCTTGCCTAGTTTCAAAACTGAGAAGAACTGTTTGTGAGACCGTGGTGAGCAGTCCAAACCGTATGTGCGTACAAGGGACAATCTACAGGAGTTGGCGGATTCGGCAGTATAGCGGAAGCAGTCTGCTTTCCTGTGCATGTTAAGAATGTAAATCCCTTATTTCTCTTCTCAAAATATGTATATTATAATGAGTTGATATTGATGCAGTGTACTCTTGTTTATCTCATAATATGAAGATCAATGAGATGCTTTCTAAGAAGACCATAGAAAAAAAAAACCTTTCCCAACTACAAACAGACACTGTTGGGACAGAAATAGACAATATGACTCATAGATTAATATGAGCGGCTTGGAGTATCATCATATATTCAAAGAAAATGCTTGCATAATCTCCCCAGACACAACTGTACAGAACAGACTAACGAACATAACTATGCAGGTTAGGTGTTGACATCGGAACACAGTATGTATTACATAATAAATGTAATGTTTTAATGAATCCTTGATGCTCTTTAGCAAGCCTTTTCCTTGTTTTCAAGTGTTTTTTTTATGATTGATTGAACAAATTCTTGGTAGAGGTTGGACGAAGTGTACCTGTGGAGGCTGAATCTGTTAAACACTTGACAAATATATCAAGGGACTTAACAAGCTTTGTTGAAACTTTTTTTGATTTTTGAGGAATTCCTGCAGGATTGTCATTTATTCTTTCATTTTCAATCATCAAGGTGTCATAGGCGCACAGCATGCGTAGACATTATGCTGCGTCTGGTTCACAAAACATTCCCTTCTAGAATTTTTGGAAAGGACTTATAAATAATAAAAATAAACAGTGGGATACGGCACCACCACTACCGTCGCTGATGAAGCATATGCATGTTTGATGACCTAGTTTGTGACTGTACCTGCATGGCCTATTGTTTCTGCAACATTGTCAGCAAAGCAGGCTCACTTTCTATAATTTTAATATTATTGTTTTCTGAAGTAAGATTCACAAGTTGGAAATAGGATACTTAGACTAAATCTAACTAACCAATTTCGTTTTTTGGTGGAAGTTAATCTGTTTATCGGACAGTTAATCAGCTGTAATTCAGGTCAACGCAGATAGGAATTCTACTTTCCTTCGCCGTGTGTGTGCACGTGATGGAACACTGGTTGGCGTCGAATGAGTACAAAGAAGATTGGGAGGGAAATGGAGAGCGACAGAGCGAATGAGGAGATGAGGGATGTGTAGTGCTGGAAGATTGGATGAGAATTGGGGGCCAAAGAAGAGTAAATCCACTTTTGCAGGCTGAATATCTATCTATCAAGCACAATTCTATCCAGTTTTCTCTACTTTCTACTACATCCCTCAGTGTGTGCCCATTTACGATTCAATTCAATCTCATTATCTCTGTTACGACAGACTGTTTGACTTTGTGTGAGTGTGTGTGTGCTAGCGGATGCGTACGTGATGGCTCTTTTTCCCTGGCAAACCTTTTTAAAAACAAAGTCTTGACAGCGGACCACCCAACCTGAGCGTAATGACTCACCGCAAGCAGTCAAGGTTGGTACGCGCTCATGAGAGATAAAGAAAGTGATAGTGAGACAGGTCATGTCCCATTTAGCGAAATAATGTCCGGTTGCACCTGCAATCAAATTGCATTCAGTTTAGTCGTGGAAGAAGTGACAAAACAGTTTTTTTATTGTTGCAGAAAACAATAAAGACAGACAATCGCCCTAAAAGAGGTGATAAAGCGTGTTGCACACTTTCCCTGCATGAATGCATGTAGCAGTACCTGCGCTGTGTGCTATCCGGAGTCACAAATGAATGCACAACTTCAACAACGGAGTGGTAGACTGTCATGAGCTCGTGCGGAGGCTGAGTCATATCATAGAGGTGGTTCCTGTGTTTCCCCTCCCAGGAGAAGTGACCCAAAATGAAATGTGGGAGTCATTTAAAGGATTATCCTCAGGTGAGCCGTCGAAAACAACAAGAGGGGGAGATGATGAGGAAGGCAGAGCATTGAGAAACTGAGGTCATAGAGATAAGGCGCTATTACTAGAGAAATGAAAAAAACAAACCTTTTCTTTCATGCTAAATTGCATACTACAGCATCTCATTTTCTTTTGTTGCTTAGTAACCATTTTCAGTCTGTAGATTAAAACAAGACACAACAAAAGGAATTTTTGTATTACTATTGAGTCAAAACCATAATGTTTCAGGGTTTTGTACAAACTTGAAATCCGCAATTTTACCAAATTGCGAAAAGGAAATTGTATTTTTATTTGTGGCACCTTTTAGGAATCAGGAAACATTTATTGCCAAAATGTCAAACATACAAGGAATTGGCGGTTGGTGCATGACAGTAGACAGTGTAACAATAGACAACAAGACAGCAGTGCACAAATAATAAAATGAAATGCTAATGCAATGGGTTAGTAGAATAAGGCTATGGGTTAGTGTAAAACAAGAGAATAAACATGAAGTGCACTAGCGAACAAGTGACGAGTGAAAAATTACAGTTAAAGTGACTAATTTTTCACTTGTCTCTTGTCACTTTTTATGAAAACAAAGTGCTTTGAAAGGCAGAAATAACAGATGGCTCAACCGCGTGGCCCAAAAAAGTTTCACCCAAAAAAAAACTGGCCCCAATAGATAAACGGGGGGGGGGGGGGGGGGGCGAAAGAGTTCAATATGATTAAAATAAACCAAGCAATAAATAAGTAAAGAGATGAAGTCACATGAAAGCCAGCCTGTAAACATGTGTTCTAAGAAGAGATTCCTGAGACATTACTGATTATGTCAGTGGTATCTCCTCCATCAAGTCGTTCCAAAGCAAACAGCCGTAACAGCAGAAGCCCAATGGTCTTAATAAGAACAGCGACCGGTCGACTCACTACTCAGGAAACCGAGAGATGGGTTTTATTCTTTATGCGTAGTTGAGGACAAGCAAGGTTCACTCCACAAAATTGGTGGAAGGCAAATGTACAAACCGGGTCAGGCAGAGACAGATTTAAGCCCAATCCCAATCTCCATGCTCACCCCTGAACCCTCAGGGACTTAAGTGACGTCACCTGGTAAGTGTTCGAGTGTGAGTCTGAGGGCTTTAAATT